AACCATTTCTTAAATATTGAATACTAAATTCTAGATATGGAATAGTTAACCTCCATTTTTGCCCCCCCCCCCCCTTCTCCGCTTTAGAATCATATCAAATTTTTAATGGGTGAATGAAAACGCCTTTGTTACGTCAATATCCGATTTATTTAATTCTGTTAAAGCGGATTAAAAGAAAAGATTACAAAACATGAACAAGATATTAAGACAGTTGCCAAGCAATAAATCTAAGCGAATTTGTTATTATTTGAGGCGACATTCCTCTCACCAATAATATTTATAAACAGGCAAAGGTATTGAAGGCAGTCTGTCCCCTGTTGTGCTCAAGCAGCTCAACTTTATTTTCACGGGATAGAAATTCATGCACTAGTCAAACTATCAAAAGTCTGGGACATATACCTTTTTTTCTTCACATATTAAAATGGTGTGTTATTAAAACCTTTTGTTTTTCAAATGCCTGAGCAACCGGATTTTTAGAATCAACTTCACTGGATCGAGTGGGCATTTGGGTTTTGAGACAAGGGCCGCTCCACAGGAGGCGCCACTTTTCATGCTAACTATAGTTATTAAATCCCCCTTTTAAGTATTGAATAGGTAACCTCCATTTTTGCACCCCGCCCCCACTTTAGAATCGTTGGCGTGGGCCCTGTGAGAGAATCAGTAAGACTAACAAATTGTCATTGTAACGTTCATTTTGTTCCTATGGTTTCAACAACATTTCTATACAAAGCCTGATTTGATCGTGCGTGACAGGTATTGCTTCATCTGGGTTGAGGCGGATTCACGTTTTTCTGCCATACCTGACTTTATTAGAAATTGGAGAGTTCAAAATCGGTTCTAAATCCAATCTGAGATCAGGTAAGTGTTTTCTTTTAATTTTCGCATATTGTTCCGATCTTTACAAGTATAACTCAAAGATAGCAAAACCTAGAACAAATGTCAACAGTTTTACGAAATACATACCTCAAGCAATGCTTTATAGTCAAGCTATCAAAAGTCTTGATCATATACAATAATAGCCTCTATAAAAAGAGATTTTTCTCTTGCCATAGTTGACTCGCTTGAAAGCAAAATAGTATTGACTACGTGCATCCTCCAGGCAAGTTTGCTAAATTTGTCGCTGATCACTTTAATGAGCAATTTTGCTGATTAGGCCCGTCTACACGATCATAGATTTATTCTGAACACCCTTATACGTTTGAAATGGAATGTTTAGGCTTATTGAAGGCTCTGTCTACACAGTGCAACATTGTTGACCATTTGTATAAACTTGTTTAGAGTTAATTACTTTTGGCGCTCGATTATTGAAGCTAAGACCCTGGGTGCACTAGTTTCTGACATAAAACTCGTTACCTTTGTCAAAGTGGAAAATCAATACTACTTTTGCAAGGTTCTGGGCGAAATGAACAAGATTTCAGATTTGAGGGATTAGTGAACTTATTTTATTGGCAATTTTGGTGTGCACATTGGGAAATCAGCATTTGTTAAAAGCCATGTCCACAGTACACAAACTAACCCAGGTTCGCCCCTGGTTAAATTCAACCTAGGGTGAACCCTGTTTTGTCCACACTTGATTTTCATATTTTGTAATGTGGACACAAAATCGGGGCGAACCCTGGTTAGCCAATGCTACGCACGCGTAGTTAAATTATAACAACAAAACAAGGACAACAAAACAAGCCGAAGTCGCAGTTTATTGTATTTTGTTTAAAATGTTTTTCCTTGCAATGCAGTTTATTCAGAGAATTATCCAATGGCACGGCAATCAAGATTCAACAAAATATTGGCTGCATCTCGCAAACGGATTCGACAGTATAAGAGATCCAGATCACAGAGGAGGAAAAAATTTCAAACATGTCCTAAACAAATTATCACTTTAGAGTGCATTCAACGAGTAGACGTGGAAAGAAAATATTGGTGTAAAGCTTGGTTTCCACTATGAGTTAACGTGAGTTAATTTGAGATAATTTTGTGATCTGACATGGTTTAAAAATTATCTCATAGTGGAAACGGTCATTAAAAATTATCTCATGAAAATTAACTCGTGTTAACTCACGTTATCTCATGAGCTTGGAAACAAAATTTTTTGATTTCAAGCTCATGAGTTAACTTGAGATAACATCTTATCAAAAGAAGCCGATGCGTGGGAGGGGAATGTGCTACCATTTGCACCGAGGTTCTTACGCAACGCACTTGCACTGAGTATTACTTTAGATGTTGAAAACAGTTTTCTTTACTAAAAAAAATTAATTGTGAAATAAGAGAAACATTTTCTCATTTCTAAGATCCTGTTGCAAGTGGTCGTATTCACCAACATAAATCTTTTTTTGGTAGACTCTCCGTACCGAAAACCTTGGCGCAGATCGCGAACGGCACTTCTAGCAAAAAATATTTTCCTTCTAAGTATTCTCAAAAGCAGAAGTAAAATAAGTTGTTCTTGTAAGACGCCCGCCATAGCTGCAAGACTCAAATAAAATGTGATTTCTGAAATTTCAATACTTAATTCTATCTCAAGTGGAAACCGAATCGGTGCATGGGTTAATTTTGAGATAGCTCGCGTTATCTCACGCTATTTCACATTATCTCAAGTTAACTTGAATTTAGACCATGAGTTAATTTTCAATTTAGCTCAGAATTATCTCACGTTAACCCATAGTGGAAACCAAGCTTAAAACACGAAGTAAAAACTGGTGGGACTCAATTTTCTTACATCGTTTTGAGGCATATCATTGGCATGCGTTACAAAAACCAACTCAGGTTGACCCCAGGTTGGTGTCCTCACTAGAAATTGATAACACTAACCTGAGTTCAACCAGGGCGACCCAGGTTAGTTGAGTTCACACTGCAAAATCTATTCTGGGTTAAAGAAAACCTGGGGCGAACCTGGGTTAGTTTGCTTAGTGTGGACAGGGCTTTGCCAGCAAGCTTAATTCCTTTTGTCTATGAACATAAGGGATTATGTTTGTCAGAAGTTTTCTTTTAAATTTCGTTCAGTTGTCAAGTGTGCCACAACTGTATTCGTAGCTTTACGTAAGATCTCCAGCAAAGAAGAGTAAAAAAATAATTTTAGGAAATTGAACCTGGAGGCTTTACGAGTGATTACATTTAAAATCCAATGTTGTTGTTCGAATATACACACAGGGCCGGCGAAACCGGCGAAACCGAGTTAACAAATATATGATTCTGTAAGTAACTTTGCCTTGTATTCTCTTATATGCCTCCTTAGCTTTAACTTGGTTGCTATGTCTTTAGCATAGAACAGTGGCGGATCCAGACTACCGCCACTACCGCTCGAGCGGTAGTCGGATTATTCAAAAAATTATAGAAACGAGGATCAATTTCATGTTTATCCTACTACTTTAGTTAAACCATAGTTAAAAATTGAAAATTTTTTGATCGTGCTGCAAACCAAGAATTTCTTCCTAGAAACATGCCTGAAATTTCCACAAAGACAGAAATACTTTTTAATCCTTATCGCTATGGAGATTTGCGGCCAATTGACCGAGCCACATGTTTGCAAATAAAAGGCTAGCATGGGGGGATGGTGAAATCATGGCTTGCTAGCTAGGGGAGTTGAGTCGGTGTAGAGCGGATTT